TAGCAAAAATAATAAAATTTCATGTTACAACTTCATAAAATATAACTTTTCTTACATATTCAACTTGCAAACTGATAGTCATCTCTCACAAAAATATAACTTATGAATTCATACAAAAATACCCATATAAAAGTATAGAGATCTAAAAATCAAAATGTACTCAACAAATGTTTACAGAATTCAGTATGCATCATGGACTAGATTCTTGATACATGCAACAAAAGTTTTATAACTCATAATTCTCATAGCAGCCTATTCTGTCTCCATTGCACTGGTATAATTTTGTAATAATTACAAACTGTCATCTTTTCAATACCAGGATAGCATGATTTTTGCATTTTTCATATCTCTAGAGTATAGCACCTTTATCAATCTCACCAACATTTGTACAACCTCTATTTTTTGTAAGAAACATTTTTCAGTGAATCAACCTCCAGAATTTGAAATTATTCTTCTTTTGTATAGACTGCAAAAAGAACAGACCTCTCCTTTGCCACATGTTTAGTAATCTAAAGATACATTAAAATAATATAAACTATATTAATTTTTCATTTAACAATCTAACAAAACAGCTCCACATAAATTCAGTCTTTTGTAAAAGAAAAAAACACACAGCTTTCCCTAAAAGACATGTTTCAAAATCATATTAGTTTTCATCAGGCCTCATTTAACTTTGAAACCATTATCTCACCACCAAATGAAATGTCTTACCAAGTCTTTGATTGCACTCATCAGGAAGGATTAGTTAACGTAATTTAACTGCACCTACGAAATATATAGACACAGAATGATACTTCTGAGCTGTTATATGTCAGAAAGATAAGAAAGAACTTGCTGTTCACTTTCTTAGGACACTAACAAAAGAAACATAATTTCTGCCGGCCAACTTACAAGCAATGGCCTCAAGAACTAACTTAGAAGTGTTTATGGGAACATATCACAAAATACAAGACTCAGACATTAGAAATATCATGGAAAATTACTACAAAACAAATTCACATCTTAACATCCTGACACTGACCATGAACTGCCAGAGGAGCACGAGAGAGGGATTGCTGGAGGTCTTTTTTTTTATTAAGGATATCTCGAAAACATAAAGATAATGGAGCACGAGGTCAATTTTTTTTGGTCTATACACTTTAAGTAGATTATAAATAACATACAACTTTTAATCTAATATTAAACAACCATATAATTTAACATAAAATATTTAATGCCTTCTTGTGAGATGTATGGATGTGTAAGTAATCCACTTATCAGAGAACTTTCTTACATATCCATAAAAAAAATCACATTTCTTGACATTTTCTGTTTTGCCATTTTTCTCTTTTTCCTAATATTTCATCCAAAGTTCATAAATGGACCTAAACTAAAAGATGACCAAAATCACCTTAATTATAAGAATTAATTACATGCACATTACCAACACTAGAGATCCTTTGAACATGATAAAATACCTGTTTGTAAGTCCATGAAATGAATGTAAACTCCCTAATACATAGAAAAGACTTCAAGACATTCATTGAGTAATGCAGCTGCAACCACAAGTTTCAAACAATTAATCACATGAAAAAAACTAAAGGAAATGTTACAACTACATTAACAAAGGCAAGTCAGCTTATGTCCTCTCTGACTTCAGGATAAAGCCTCTTGGCACCAGGTGACCCTTATATGTCATGACAATTTTGACGCTGCTAGGAGATTCTCCTTAACTCCTTGGTGACGAGTACAGCTATAGCTGTCATGATGTAATGGCCTATGACTTGCAGCTGTAAACAGCTTAAGCCTAGCAACAAAGTCAAGACTGTTGCATAATATTACATTATATATAAATCAGGCCCCGTCACCATAGGGTTAATGCCATGTGGAAATGCTGAAATTGTCATGGCTTGTATCTGGGTTACTAGGTGTGAAGAGTATGTGTGGGTATTTGCTTTTATACACCCTACATATAATAAATGAGTGAAAAATATATATAAATCAAAATCTGATTTCCTGTAAACATAAACAATTTGTCAGTATACAAAATGATAAGAAAATGGAAAATAATATCTAAGAAAAAATGCATACAAATCTGTAAAGACAAAACAATTTGGTAAAACATATACCAATCCATAAATCTCATCAAAACAAATCCACACTTTTCCTTTAGATGCCTAGGTCTGTGACAAAATGCTGAAAAGCATTCATGCATATAAAATCTTCATAGACTGTGAGGAAAAGTAAAAGCTTATAACAAATGACTTATAATAAATTTGAAACGAGGGTGTTGCCAGAATGAACAACTCCACTATTCTACTACTGCAGTTTGTGAAAATTGTTGTGCTATCATATTCTGTGCTTTCATTTTCATGCAATTTCTTATCACAGTTATTGAAAGCTGATCATTAAAGAATCAGCAGATATAATTGTATATCATTCCATTTGTGACTGAAGTATTCTAGTTATGCCCACTTGCAAAAAGAGATTCAACAGTATTCACTGCAACTGTTGTAGAAGAAGGTTTGAATAGGAAGAAATAAAATAATAAATATTAGATCTTTTTTCTCATTCATACTTTCTTCTACTGGTATGAATGAGCATGAACAATATTTTTTTATCTTACTATTTCCTTGTAGATTGCAATTCAATCTGTGGTTTCTGCTTTGGCCGGACTGCAGGGATGTATTTCATTTCTTTCAGATGGTCGTCTGTGATGACCCAATCAAATTCTTTTACAAAGGTCTTGCAAAACATCTGGAAGTCATCTATGAGTGCGGGATACATATTAATCTAAGCACAACCATGGCAATGTAGCTTAGTCTATTCTCTCTTTCCTTATGTCTTTTCGATCTTTAACTAGGCCGGTACAGAAATCACACTGGGATTAACCCAACCGAACATTTATATGATCTCCCAAAATTTCGACACTCCTCGCTATCCTAATTGTCACTCTCTGTGTGTTGTTCAATTGTTCTATTTCTTTTCTCCAACACAAGGCAAAAACCTCTTCTGCCTCTTTTATCCTCCTCTGGTCTTCAATTCTTTGTTATTCCTAGACTCTCCATCATCTCCGGCAATATATCAAAACTTATCTATTGGTCCTTTGCGATGAGGGAAAATCTTAGGCGTTCTCTTAATGATCTGCACCGCCCAAAGATAACGTCCTCTTCCCTGCTACAAAGTTCGCGATATCACTCTACCAACACTTTTTGTTCTAATTTAGCACACGACATTAACCCTCATTAGCCACCTTGACGCTTCCTCCCGCTGCTCTCCTTTTTACAACGGCCTACACCGCGCACGACCGATCCTCTGCTCAAGGTCTCCAGTGGTTGGCATCAAGCTCGAGGACATACCTCTCAAGCAACATTGAATCAAAAGTCGTCCTTTTAGTCCTTGGGCCTTTCTCTGCACAGAAACATCGCCTATTCAAACAACGACCAGTTATTTCGAGCACTGGGAGCTTTAATTTACTTTATCAAAATCTAACATTACTCTCTTTTCGCGAGACTTATTGTTATCAACAAATATTTCATCACGCAACAGACCAATATCTTGCAAATCTTCACCCAGTTACTCAATACCACATAAACACAAACACATAACAATCCATAATCATTCCACCACTGAATCTCGTTATATATGCCTCTTCTTCTCTATTGATGGATCGCCATCTCGCAACGTCACACATGAGAGTAAGGACTGAGCCAAACACTTTTTGGAATCAGAGCTTATCAGCAGCTACACAAGGTTCAGGTTTGTTAACGCAGATTCCTCATGTGGGAACACTTTCACGCATGTTCAACCAGATTACCGCCGCTTTTATGGGATATCAGCTACGCTGCCGCGCTTGACACCAACTTATCTATAACCTACTCTCCCTATTTTAATATCAAGAAGGGTGTCTAATATTGTTTATACTCACTCATGATAACCTTCTCGTAATATTCTACTCTTCTTAAACTCATATATACATATTATTATATATATATATACCTTTATACTCCATTTTCCTTACAATTTACTCTCATATCAGTACATATATATACACTAATACATATTCCTATTATATATACTCCATACCATACACTATTATATTATATATTATTATCCTCCTCTTCTCACATCATCTCCTCCTACCAACATTCACATGTTCCCCACGGGATGTGTTAGGAGACTCGAAAAAAAGAGATGTATCGATCTATATCTCATATTACTATAATACCTCACTTTAACCGGTTCTTATCTATAATGTTCTCCCTTTTAACTTTATCTTCTCACATCTCTTTCCCTACCTAAATTATATATGAATAATGTATAGATATATAATTATATATATTATACCTTCCCTTGGATCTCATCTCTCCTTCACTTATAGTCAGTATCATCAGTTCACTATGCTAATATCATGTATATATATGTTATAGTATATACATATACATATAATATACATATATACCCTTCACTTTTGTATCATTTACGCCAGAGCGTGAAATCTTAAGGCTCGATCGGATCGAGTTTTGCATCAGAGAGAGTGCCCTACTTTCCGAATATGCACCTATTTCTTGGAGAACCACCTCGCGGAAAGTGTTTCCATGAGGATTGCTAGCTGTAAGGGAAAATTCACATATCTCTTTGGGTGCAGGTGTGGCATGGAGCTGTGCTCTCGATTATTCTTTATTCCTACAACTAGTGTTTGTCTTGTCCACCGTCTCCTCTCACTTTATGGTCATATTTAATTCTGATAAGGCTCCAATCATGGATGTATAGGCTTTCTATCAGGTGGGTAACTGTATTATCTTTGTTCTACTGGACTTCCTTTTGCCTTTTTTTTTCTTTTTTTTATGTTTCTTCTTACTCTACTTGCTCTAGAGGTTTCGCCTAGGTACGAAAATTTATCCTAGTCTGCTTCTCTCTCCGATAAAATTTTATAACCTAATGGTCCCCAACAACAATTTTTGATTTGATAAAGTTTAAATAAAAGCCTCCCATCTCAATACTCTTGTTTTTGACAGGCATGTTCTTCAGAGGAAGAGGAAGACAAGGTCACTTGATTCAATTTTGCTTGAGGTTTGTCCGCTTGATGCCCCCTCTGCAGGTGGTCGTCCGTGTAGCCTTAAAAGACCACGCAACCTCAGTGGGCTATGAGATATCTGCTGGAATGGTGATCCATTTCAACTTTTTTGGGGCACATACAGACCCTAAGATTTTCCCTCATCCAAAAAAGTTTTTGCCGGAGAGATGGAGTCAGGATAACAAAGATGACCGAGGAAGAATTTTTGCCTTTGGAGCTGGACCACGAGAGTGCATTGGAAAGAGGATGATTTGGGACATAATGATGGTTGGTAATCCCAGTGTATGATTTCTGTACTTGGCTACAAAAAAAAAAAAATGCTGCTTTTGCCATGGTTGCTTAGATTAATATGTATCCCCCCTCTGCGTTTTCACTTTTTGCAACAGATGTTTTTGCAAGACTTCTTTTTGTAAAAGAATTTATTGTTCATCATCACAGACGACCATTACTGAAAGAAATGAAATACATCCCTTCCTGCAGTCCGGCCAAAGCAGAAACCACAAGATTGAATTTGCAATCTACAAGGAAAAGTAAAGATAAAAAATATTGTATCAATTTGCCATGCTTCATTCATACCAAGTAGAAGAAAGTATGAATGAGAAAAAAGATCTAATATTTATTATTTTATTTCTTCCTATTCAAACCTTCTTCTACAACAGTTGCAGTGAATACTGTTGAATCTCTTTTTGCAAGTGGGCATAACTAGAATACTTCAGTCACAAATGGAATGATATACAATTATATCTGCTGATTCTTTAATGATCAGCTTTCAATAACTGTGATAAGAAATTGCATGAAAATGAAAGCACAGAATATGATAGCACAACAATTTTCACAAACTGCAGTAGTAGAATAGTGGGAGTTGTTTAATTCTGGCAACACCCTCGTTTCAAATTTATTATAAGTCATTTGTTATATAAGCTTTTTACTTTTCCTCACAGTCTATGAAGATTTTATATGCATGAATGCTTTTCAGCATTTTGTCACAAGACCTAGGCATCTAAAGGAAAAGTGTGGATTTGTTTTGATGAGATTTATGGATTGGTATATGTTTTACCAAATTGTTTGTCTTCTTTACAGATTTGTATGCATTTTTTCTTAGATATTATTTTCCATTTTCTTATCATTTTTGTATACTGACAAATTGTTTATGTTTACAGGAAATCAGATTTTGATTTATATATATTTTTCACTCATTTATTATATGTAGGGTGTTAAAAGCAAATACCCACACATACTCTTCACACCTAGTAACCCAGATACAAGCCATGACAATTTCAGCATTTCCACATGGCATTAACCCTATGGTGACGGGGCCTGATTTATATATAATGTAATATTATGCAACAGTCTTGACTTTGTTGCTAGGCTTAAGCTGTTTACAGCTGCAAGTCATAGGCCATTACATCATGACAGCTATAGCTGTACTCGTCACCAAGGAGTTAAGGAGAATCTCCTAGCAGCGTCAAAATTGTCATGACATATAAGGTCACCTGTGTGCCAAGAGGCTTTATCCTGAAGTCAGAGAGGACATAAGCTGACTTCTTGCCTTTGTTAATGTAGTTGTAACATTTCCTTAGTTTTTTTCATGTGATTAATTGTTTGAAACTTGTGGTTGCAGCTGCATTACTCAATGAATGTCTTGAAGTCTTTTCTATGTATTAGGGAGTTTACATTCATTTCATGGACTTACAAACAGGTATTTTATCATGTTCAAAGGATCTCTAGTGTTGGTAATGTGCATGTAATTAATTCTTATAATTAAGGTGATTTTTGGTCATCTTTTAGTTTAGGTCCATTTAAAACTTTGGATGAATATTAGAAAGAGAAAAATGGCAAAACAGAAAATGTCAAGAAATGTGATTTTTTTTATGGATATGTAAGAAAGTTCTCTGATAAGTGGATTACTTACACATCCATACATCTCACAAGAAGGCATTAAATATTTTATGTTAAATTATATGGTTGTTTAATATTAGATTAAAAGTTGTATGCTTTATTAATCTACTTAAAGTGTATAGACCAAAAAAAATTGACCTCGTGCTCCATTATCTTTATGTTTTCGAGATATCCTTAATAAAAAAAAAGACCTCCAGCAATCCTCTCTCGTGCTCCTCTGGCTTTCATGGTCAGTGTCAGGATTTAAGATGTGAATTTGTTTGTAGTAATTTTCCATGATATTTCTAATGTCTGAGTCTTGTATTTGTGATATGTTCCCATAAACACTTCTAAGTTAGTTCTTGAGGCCATTGCTTGTAAGTTGGCCGGCAGAAATTATGTTTCTTTTGTTAGTGGTCCTAAGAAAGTGAACAGCAAGTTTTCTTCTTTTACATATAACAGCTCAGAAGTATCATTCTGTGTCTATATATTTCGTAGGTGCAGTTAAATTACGTTAACTAATCCTTCCTGAGTGAAAGCAATTGAAAGACTGTAATTTCATTTGTGTTGATAATGGTTTCAAAGTATAAATGAGGCCTGATGAAAACTAATATGATTTTGAACATGTCTTTTAGGGAAAGCTGTGTGTTTTTTCTTTTACAAAAGACTGAATTTATGTGGAGCTGTTTTGTTAGATTGTTAAATGAAAAATTAATATAGTTTATATTATTTTAATGTATCTTTAGATTACTAAACATGTGTGCAAAGGAGAGTCTGTTCTTTTATGTCTATACAAAGAAGAATAATTTCAAATTCTGGAGGTTGATTCACTGAAAAATGTTTCTTACAAAAAATAGAGGTTGTACAAATGTTGGTGAGATTGATAAAGGTGCTATACTCTAGAGATATGAAAAATGCAAAAATCATGCTATCCTGGTATTGAAAGATGACAGTTTGTAATTATTATACCAGTGCAATGAGACAGAATAGGCTGCTATGAGAATTATGAGTTATAAAACTTTTGTTGCATGTATCAAGAATCTAGTCCATGATGCATACTGAATTCTGTAAACATTTGTTTGAGTACATTTTTGATTTTTAGATCTCTATACTTTTTATATGGGTATTGTATGGATTCATAAGTTATATTTTTGTGAGAGATGACTATCAGTTTGCAAGTTGAATATGTAAGAAAAGTTATATTTTATGAAGTTGTAACATGAAATTTTATTATTTTTGCTACTTCTGTAATATAAATGCTTATATTTTTTGTGTTTGTGGTGTTATTCAGTAATGTAGAAGGTTGTACGATAAGAAAGGATGATATATGACAATTTGACATGCTGTTAACATTCTCAGGTCTTAAATATTATGCTGTTGTATAGTTAAAATTCAGTATCATTTGATATAATGAAACAAACTTTAAATTATATAATGGTAATCTCTTTCACTTAAATTATTCTTTTGCAGAAAGCCTTCATATTTGTAAAAATTGTGAAAATGTTATAAATGTCCATTTATATAAATGTTATAATTATTCTAACTTGAGTGGTGACTTGATGCACAACAACTTAGAACACTGTAAATGCTGTCTCTGTGGTATATTCATGGCATCAGCATGTATACCTATAAGGATGAGAACAGATTATGGCCAGCTGATTCCCAAATTACGCCCCAGTAATAGTGCCCCTTCTGTACATTTCTGATGCAAATTAATTTCTAACTGGATTGATATAGGGTAATGAAATACAGCAGGAATCATTAACCCATTTTTGCCAGATACATGGACTGTTCACTCTAGTTTTCCTTTGTGAATTTTGTTTACACATGGCTCCAAAGTGTTCAGTCACCAAGGAGTTAGTAGGCCTTACAGGACCAGTCTGATTTCCCCATTCCTTGAGTTTTCAGTAATATGTTTTTTTCCCGTTTCATCCTTAATGAAAAGGGATATTGAAAAAGATGTTTTATATTAAGCAAAGAATTCTGTTTATGGTATGCAGCAACTTTTGTTCAAAGAATTTCATTGAGCAATTGGTGTGTAACTCCCAGGTTAAGAACCTCTGTTATAAAATATGCTTCTAGACCCTGTCTGTGTATCTGGAATACCATAAAAACTGATGGATGCAGATATTTGTGGTGCCCAACTTCTTTTGACAATGTACAGTGTTTAACCAAGCCAGAGTAAAGCTAGCCACACTTTTAGGCAGTTATCATGATAATCTTCATTTGTGGTATTTCCACAGTTCCTTAATGTCATGGCCAAAACTGCATATATACACTAAAGGTTCTTATAATAGCAGTAATGGGGAAGATGTTGAAAATGCAGATTATATAGATAATATTTTAACAGTATTTAAAAATTGATATAATTTGAACTCCCAAATAAATCGACATATATTTCAACTCTGAGATATATCACCTTGCTGATGCCTGGACACACATGAAGAGGAATGGTATGTTGATGCAAACAAATTTGTCATGTCAATCCCCAAACTGCATGGCTAGCAGAACAGGTGAGCCTCTTGATATGACTGCTATGTCATACCAAAATATTAATAAATTTCAAGTTTGTTTCCTAAAATTCCTTGAACAAGCACTAATTCAAAAAGATGTAGCATTTCATTAACTCCCTTACAGGATATTATTGTCTTTTTGAAAGACCATGAGAATGTTAAGTGTGGTAAGTTGTATAAAGAAAATACCTCATTCTTGTAATGACTCGTTAACAAATGTATGTGTAAGAAGCAGTATTGTATACATTATTTTGTTGATGAAATTTCTGAATATTTGTATTTACTAATGACTCATTTTTGTAAGATTACATATTCAAAAAGTTATATTTTGTAAATATTCAGTTCCAAATACTGTTCTGATAATTTTTTCTACCTCAGGTAGAATGTGTGTGTGTGTGAGAGAGAGAGAGAGTGAGTGAGTGAGCGAATGAAGGAGCAAGCAGGTGGGTGTGTGGGCAGTTGAGAGTGTGAGAATGAGAGTGAGAGCGCGAGAGAGAGAGAGAGAGAGAGTGAGTGAGTGTGTCAGGGTTTTTGTTTTGCCCTGATTTGGTGGGAGTATGGACACAGTTCTGGTTTGCTTCTTTATTTGTTGAAGTGGCTGGAAGGTAGCGTGGCGAGGGCTGTGTCTCGTGCTGGTGCAATTGTGGGCAAAGGGAGCCCAAAGGCGCGTCGAACGTGAGCGCCCCCAAAAGAAGGTCTGGTCAGGGCCGAGAGCCCTGGTCAAGTGTGCTGCCCTCGGTCAACTGTCTTGTAGGGTCCGGAGCAGGTCTGGAGTTCCTATTGTTGGAGACGTGGGAAGGTAACCCTTGTCCCTCAGAGTGAGTGAGTTAGTGAGTGAGTGAGTGAGTGAGTGAGTGAGTGAGTGAGTGAGTGAGTGAGTGAGTGAGAGAGTCAGTCAGTCAGTCAGTCAGTGAGTCAGTGAGTCAGTGAGTGAGAGTTTAGTTGTGTGTGTGTGTGTGTGTGTGTGTGTGTGTGTGTGTGTGTGTGTGTGTGTGTGTGTGTGTGTGTGTGTGTGTGTGTAACGTGCCGAGTTG